CCACTGGAACAGGGATGCCCACCTACATAAGAAGATGAAAATGTTTAGAACTGAATCAATGGGTCTTGAGGTCACTGAAACCAAAGGTGAACTAGACTTACAGAGTGGTCAGAATCTCACCCCAAGCAGTTCACTGCAAGATGATGAATTTGTTCTTTGTAACAGGCACCTGAGAAAGGATGCCAGTATGAACTCATGTTTTAATATCAATCCAGACTGAGCCCAAGAAGAGCAGAGACTTCTGAGAGTTATCTGACAGCACCTAATCAAAGGGGGGTTGGAACTGTGCCTGAGATGTGGGCCTATGTACGGCCATTCCATATCATGCCTTGGAGAGCTGTGGCAGTGCCAGCCTCCATCAGCCACTCACTACACTTCTCAACATCCATCTCTGTGATTTCACCTAAACTCCCTGCCACAGTCACAAAATTGCATTCTTCTCTGTCTTCAAATCTGACCTTAAAAATGCTTCCCTTCAAATGAAGCTTAGCAGCCCTTTGACACCGTTGCCAGTATCCATCATCAGGTAGAAGATGGGAAGTGGGAGTGGTGGAAAAGTAACATTCACATCACTTAATTTTAAGCATCCAACTTCAATTCACCATGTTAGCAATCTGATTTCTCTGTTTAATCCATGAAGACAGACAAGATCCTTTGAGGAATGATTAGGAATTCTCCGAACTGCCCCCACAGGAGCCTGACAGCAAGGTCTATTGATGCAGCTGTTATTAGCACGTTGGCAGATAGCACACAGTACAGTTAGCTCTCTTAAGTTAAATTCAGTGAATGTTCCCCCATTAACCCTTTGCATCTCTCATCTGTCAGTATTTACTTCTACTTCAAGGATAAGCATTTTGGGAAAAGCAGTGTATTTCTGTCCTGTATTTCTTTAGCATCCATCCCCCTTGAGTTGTTTAGCCTGGAGAAAAGGAGGCTTTGGGAGATCTTATTACTCTCTTCAACTACTTAAAAAGAGGTTGTTTCAAAAAGTGTGCCAGCCTCTTCTCCCAAGTCACAAATGACAAGACGAGGAAGTGGCCTCAAGTTGTCCCAGGGTGGGGTTAGATTGAGCATTAGGAAATGTTTCTTCATGAAGTGGGTTGTCAACATTGGAAGAAGCTGTCCAGCAGAGTAAGTTGAGTCACCATCCCTGGAGGTATTTCAAAGACATGTTGATGTGGTGCTTAGGAACATGGTTTAGTGGTGGACTTGGGTTAATTATTTGACTCAGTCTTGTACATCTATTCCAACCTCAATTATTCTATGATTCTGCTGCACATTTGACCATGCCAAGAGGTGAGGAGGTGTGCGCCAGCTTCCAAACTACCTCCTTCACAGCAAGTCCTGGGAGTGCATTTTCTCACAAGGCACATGGGCATGTAAGTTCTCTGCCACCAGTAACTGAGTTGTTCTGTTACCCTGACCGCCCCTGAACCATCAGCATTGGGATACCTTAGGTGATAAGAAATAACAGGAAGCTAGGACAGAAGTAAAGACTCTTCTAACTGTTGGTACAACTGTGTTTTATGACTGGTTTAACAAGATTCTTCCTCCTACTGCTGTGTGACCCATAGTCTGTGAGGAAAGATGGTATGGCTGTAGTATTATATATACAGGGAAAACCTATGATCTAAGATAAGAAAGGACTTAGTTGGTGCTGAGCCAGAATTAATGATGAAAAGCAAAACTGCAGACACATCAGCATAGATTCAATAAAGCTAAAAGATATAGAAGTGAAACTTGAATCAATGTAATTTGAATATATGACATAAGCATACATTGTATTCAAAGGAATATAAACCCAGAAATTTCTAAAGTCATGAAGCAGCCCAGGGATGGAAAAGATCATATTAATTAAATCATATTAATAATGATGGAACATGCAATAAGAGGTTTGGATTCCCAATCTGCAAGGCATTTAGGCCTGTGATTGTTTTTGTTGAAATAAATGGAAAATTTTTTGTTCAAGTGCCTTGTTTCTATTGAAATTTCTCATGTTCGTAATATAAGGATGAAGGTGATCAGTTGAAGCTGAGGTTGAGAAGGTAGACAACCAGCCTAGTTCAAAAGTTCCTTATTGCACAGACTAGTTATATGTGCTGTGAAAAGTGACTTCTTCATGAAGGCATTTGGATGACCACTGGTATTTATTTGTCTGTGTTAGCTGAAGAGTAACTATGCAGATCAGCACTTGGAGATTGAAGAACTTTCTGTCTGCAATATGTAGTATGTGAACACAGATGTTAGTGTGTACACAGGCTTTAGAGAAAAACACAGAACTTGGACAGGAAAACTTTGCCCTGAGTGAGGAAGGTCACAGTATATTTGGCCACCAAAAAATGTTCCAACCAGGTTAGATCTCTTCGAGCTGGAGAAACTTGGGCTGCTTACTGTGCCCAAGTAAGCAGCCACTTACCACATGCCACTTCTGCTGGAGTCTGAGCACAGCTGTCTTTCCTGTGATCAACCCGAGAGCCCAGGAGATTTCCCTGTCTTACTTGCACAAGAAGGAAAAGGTTGCCTCCATTTTATTTCACTTGCACCTGTAACAGTAAGCAGAGCATACAACGGGTGAGGCTGATGCAGCGCCTAGCCACCTTGTTCAATGTTCAAAGGCAGCCACTTTGTTGGAAGAAACCAACACATAGTTTAGAAATAGAGGACTAGACCTCAGCTACAGTACCACAGAATTAGATTAACTTCACACAAGCTGGAGTTATCACCCTGCTGCAGCCGTAATGCCATTCTGATTCTAGCCCATGATGCTGTAAGTACCCAAGATATGTTTTCTCTCTGTATCAGTGTATGAATACTGAAAAGATTTTACATCACTTCAAAATAACAGAAGGACAAAGAATGCTCAGTAGATAAGTAAAAAAGTAAGACTTTTCCACTTAGTCTTAATTATGAGATGTTTTACCCAGGTCATGAAGGACTAAGCTAAAACTCATGCACATGTTAAGTATGCAATGCCCTAAGGTGTGTGTCAACAATCCCTACCCACTAATCTCTTGAAAAGTAATGGACATTTAGGAAAGCTGTGTTGCTCAGGGAGAGAAATGCAAATGCAGATCGAAGGTTTAATGAAAAACCTCCTTATTAAACTGTTTTATCTTGGAGCAGTCCTTTTCAGAACACATCCAAGCAGAGATAAAGGCATCTTACCATAGTCATTAAACTGTGCATGGTTTGATTCAATCAGACTCAGATCATTTGCATATGGATCAGTTTAATCTAGTTCTTCCTGTCTCACACCTATTGTTAATCATGCCTAGACTCCCTCCCTGCTTACTAATACCCATTCCCCCTCCTCCTCCATTCTTTTGATTCAAGTAGATAAATGAATAGGCATAAGGACATCAACATCTTTCTGAGTGATCATCTGCCTTGTATGCTCAGAATGTCCCATGTTTTGCTGATTATGTCCTGGTTGGCATCCCATATGTTCTTGATGGTCCCTGTCTTTGCTGATTTAGGAAGACTGGGAAGACAGAGGAAGAATATTGACTCAGGCTGTAAACCCCAGCTTAGGTTTACCTCTTGCCTCAAATTAAGTGAGATTTGTGTTCTCAACTTACTCTGCATCATTAGAAAGTATCTCTCTGAGTAGCATGTTAAACTTAACAAAGTGAATCCTTTTTTTTCAGGAACTGAGTATTATTTCTGCTTTTAGCCAGCAGTGGTGATAACTGTTTTCACATAATTAACCTAGAGTGATGGGGTAACCTGGTTGTTTTGTACAAGTAGATATTTTTATGCATCAGAGGCAATACTGTTTGGGGCTTTTTATAGCAATGCCCTGTAAGACTTTCCCTCTGAATGACTGAGTTTTTGCTGCTTTTTCAGAGAATAATTACAACCACAGGTTGAATGACTGCCCCAGATATATTGCCACAAATCCCAACCCCTAGCTTTGTTTTTTATTGTAGAGTTTTCCTTTCATTGTTCAGGATATTCTGTCCAGCCACATCACAGTTATGGCCTTGGGGAGGCAATAGGCTTTATGATTGTGTGAGGAATGTGAGAGCAACAGATTGGGCAGTTTACACAAAATGTCTAGCATGGTGATTTTTCCACTCAAGGCTGTTGCTGTGCAAACCTGTGGAGGAGATATTCATACACCCATATTAAAAACAGGATCTTTATTTTCAGGTTATTTGTTGCATTCTCTCTGTAGCTTTTATATAAATTCACCTTCAGCTAGAATAACGTCCTCTAAAAAAGTGAAGGTCAGGCTCCCAGGAGGAGCTGCCTTTCAGCAGCACAGGGAGGGGTTTTTTTCTGATGTAAGGACAGTCATATAAGCAGAGTTGGACCCATAATTCATTCAGCCAACATCACACAAAGTGACCCCCATATTTCTTTTGTAGTAATGGTGAGCTGGGTGAATCCCCCAGCCAGGAAGGGATTTTGTCATGGACAGAAATTGTGTGTAAACAGCGCAGGTGCTGAGGAAGGGGATGGAGGACAGTATCCAGATTCAATGTTCTCCAGTATAACTCCTCAGGGGTTGTGTATGTATTGTGATTAAGACTAGTGTGACCACAATAATACATCCCTGATGGCCCTCCCATTCTGTGCTGCAAGGGAATGTATGGGCCAGAGATCTCAGCAAAATGGGAGAGCTGCAGACAGCTAATAGAGATGAACATACACGTCTCATGCATTAATATTCAAATTAATTTCTGCTGATTATATTTCAGTTTAGGATGATGCATTATTTATATTAGAAGTCCTTTTATAGTATCTTGTGAGTAAGGAAGTCACAGCTCGTGAGGTGGAGAAGATGAGCTCTCCTTAGCAGTCTCTGTTGTATCTTCATAGCATTTAGCACATAGGACTGTGAGATCACTGAGCACCTGAAATTCCAGACAATATGAGATACATGACTTAATATCTGACAGCTTTTTCCACAGGATATGGAGAAATTCATTAACTCTGTCTGCTTTTCTGGAAACAGGAAGGAATTGAAAATTCATGCTAAAAATATTAACAGAATAATTTTAAACCCTGGGAAGGGGTAGAAAGGTTATATTTGGGTTTAATTTCTGGAAAGGACTAAGGACCAGAACAGCAGGATTTTAGACAAATTTGATGCAGCTCGCCCTGTTAAAATTTTGTCCCTGAAACTACAACATCCTGACATTTTTTTCCTTGTCTGAAGCACAAGAAAAGTTCCTTTTACAGAATTTGAGGATTTTATCTGGCTGAATGAAATGACTCACTGTCAGCAAGAATATAAAGATGAGTGTAGCTTCACTAAACCCTTTTCTGCTGCTAAGGTGGCAGTTTTAGATTCCTCGTCATGACACGTAAGTGAAAACAGCTTTGGAAAGCATACACTGAAAGAGGCTGATCTAAGGTTTAAGTACCTTTAGAACAATATCTGCTAATCTAGAGTAATTGATTTTTCTCAGTCTTCATGTTCCTTTTAATTTAATTTTTTTTTCAGTGTTCAGTTTTTCAGAGAGGAGAAGTGAAGGGATGAGATGAAGTGAATTTCCATCTCCAGCACCATATTAACAAAGCAATATTCCTACACTAGCCTCCATCCCTGGAGCTACTGGATTGCCTGGGAGTAGTAGGATGCTGTCCCATTGTGAGGATGGTGTGGGACAGAAAAGTGATGTGTAGGGATGCCAGGGAGCTTCAAAGGTACTTGCTAAAAAGAAAGGAAGGCCAAAAATGCAGTACCATGAGTTAGCTTCAAATGGGAGCAGACTCACTTGTGCACCTTTCCCTTGTAGTCTGTCCCAAGCCTGTTTTTTGATATATGGGGCTCCTTCCCTGCTTCTCAGTCAGCTGAAGGTCCCATCCAGCTCCATGGAAGAGTGTCAATATTTTCATCCCATGTGCTGTCAGGACACTAACAACAGGCACAGCAGTGAGACTAGGCACACTGTACTCCAGCCTTGTGTCCAGGGTCACATCAGCTGCTGGGACTAGTCTGCTCCCAGGACACAGCCTGCTTGGGCTAAATTGCATCTCTGGGCAATTATTGCACAGGATGAGCAGAACAAGATAGTTAAAAAAAAACCCAGCTGTTTAGCTAAATTGGACTGTACGTTTACAGTTATGTCAAAAAAAAATATCTCTGGTACCCCTTCATACTCCAGGAAATTCATAGCTTTCCTTCAGAGAGTGCAGGACCATTTGATAAACTGCAGCTTGTGTACTGCAGACACAGTGAGTTGTGCAAGTGAGTTGGAGTTGGAGTTGAGAAAAGTGAGGCAATATTAATATCACCTCTATATCTTGCGGCTGCCATCTGCACATGAATAATAGCCATTAGCATGGAGTACTCACAATCACCTTTGCTGTTGTGCATGTTAAATTCATCATTCACATGTGCAGGAAGAGAAAAACTAAGCATAAATATTCAGCCTGCAAATAAGCAGGGATTACATAAGAAACTCTTGTGTTAGTCTTTCCTCTTTTTTGTTGTTTTTTTATTCTTGCTGCATGCTCTGTGTTCCTAGAAAGTCTGAGAATTCATTCTTCTTAATGAACTTCCTGCTAGAACTAAAATATGTCAAGATTGGTTTGTTTCTTTTTTTTTTTTCTGCTAGGGAAGTACCTTGAGACCACAACACCATAGTAGGTCATGATATAAAGGTTTACAGGCATGTGTCTTTAAAAAACTCCATCACTTCCAACAAACCCCACAAGCCCAGTTTCCTCACCAATGAAAATTTACAAACAAATTCAAACAATTTTTTTCTGCACATGAATGCTCAGAGAAAACTTTATTTAACTTGCTACAACTATAGTATAAAGTGGCATTGAACTGAAGAAGATCTCTTTCAATGTTATATGCAATATATCAATTAACTAAGGGAGTCTGAATCTCATTACTGAATGGGCAGCCTTTGTAATCATTGTTCACTAAGTACAGATTAAATGGCTTGAAGATAATAATCATCCTTCCTACTCTTACCTTTACAGGGGTACCACTGTGCTTTCCATTTAACATGTCAGGCAAAATACCTACTATTCAAGGACAGCTATTTATTTAGTCTGTCTTAATTCTTAGGTCATTGCTGCTGTACCACAGCATTTTATAGAAGTATGGCTTAGTGAAAGGGCCTTCCTTTTCCTTCTTCTTTGTGCAGTATATAGGTGCTGCACGCTGGTTTTAGGGCAGAGTCTCTGGGTTTAGTACAGGAAGAATATTTAGCACTATGTTTGCCATTTGCCTCTGAGGCTTGCTCTCATCCCAGTTATGTTAGAAAATCCATCCTGGAGATGACAGAGAAACCTGAATTTCTCATAGCCAAGAGCCTTCCTGCTGGGCTATGCTAGGTTGGGGACAAGGCAGTGGAGAGAGCCCCACGGCACCACAAGGAGCAGGGGCCAGCCAGAGCAGCCTGGGGACAGGGGACATGGACACAGGGCAGCAGACTGCCATGTCACAGAATCACAGAGTCAATGAATTGCATAATGGGCTGGGTTGGAAGGGACCACAGTGGGTCATCTGGCCCAACCTCCCTGCTTAAGCAGGGACATTCTAAAGCACATGGATTGTGTCTCTAGTGACAGGGCT